GGCTACCCAGAGGATACTTGGTCAAAGACCGGAAGTCGTGAGCTGCTTGAGTCATATGTAAAAGAATCGTTTCTGGCCATTCCCAAGTGAATGGCGATCAGAGACTYTCCTCACTGGCGTGAACTTCTACACATGACCCCTCGTGAACATACCAGCATAAATAATGCGTCCATCGATTTATCGTATTTTGACCGAATATATGTGGACATCATTACTTCCTTTACAATATTGTGACCGAAACGAAACGCCAGAGTGCTGAATGGAATGCACCGGACGAGTCGAAACCTAAAAAATCGCTCATGGAAAATTCAAAAGTGAAGACAATCCTTTTTTTTATGATTCCAACTGTATTGTCCACAAATAATTTGTTCCATCTAGGAGTTTTGAAGCGTTTGGTGCGCCGTATTCGACGTGTTTGGCCCGATTATCGCGAAGATGAAAGTTGGCGTTTGTTACACGATAATGCGCCGTCTCATCGATCGACGGTTGTGACCGATTTTTTTTACCAATATTCACATTTTAACCATTAACCATTTGCCTATGAAAGAAAAGCGTTGTGCGGACGTAGAGGCCATTCCAAAGGCTTCCACCGGCATACTGACAGCCATACCGGCCAACGAGCTAAAACACTCGTTCGACATGCTTTTGGACCGTGCAAAAAGCTGTATTGAAGCAGAATGAGACTATTTTGAATAAAATATTTTGATTTTGCAGAAAAGACCATTTGTTCTGTTTTTTTTTTAAATCATGTTTACTTTGGAACGCACCTTGTATTATCAAAAGTTAAATGTAGGCCAAAAATTTTGAAAAATCAGGCGTTGTCACGCTTTCTAATAAGTTTACTGTACAGATCTCCTAAACCTCTATGAGTTATATACTTATAGTATAGTAATCCATTTCGATGATCTCTACTTTAAAATTACAGAAACTTCAAATTTATTGGGGAATGTTTATTACAATTCGAAAAAATATTATTTGTCACCGAATTGACTGTCTGGTCTTCGTGTACATTCTCAACTATATTTTCTTCACTGCGTGCTGGGCGTGGTCTGTTCAGTCGAATATTATCCAATAATGAATTTTGGGTCTCAAGATGGGTGATGCTGTGCCGGATAGGCCGACAAGTTAATCGAATCGCGCGAAACATATTCTTTATAGAACGTGAATTTTCGTAATAATTGAATGATTTGTAAACGTTGTTCAAGCGTAAGCCTTGATGAAATGCCAAACAATACTGAACAAAAATAACATGACAGCTTGACACGACTGATCTGTCAAAAAAAGTCTATTGAAAAAATGACCTTTATAAAGTTGCTGGGATTCCGATCGCCTGGTTGACATATTATTCCTTAAGGTATTTCCTTGGCTTTGATTCCTCCAAACTCCAATAGTATAAAAGGTTCGGTTACACCCGAACTTAGCCCTTCCTTACTTGTTTCTTATTAAATTTCG